AAATACTATTCAACAATTAAATATCTCTGCTGAAATCACAAATACTATTCATACTATATTATTCTACTACCTTAATATATTATCACATCTTTATTTTCTAAATTTTATTCAAGGTCTCTACCCTATATCTCTATATGATAATATTAAAATACTTCTTTATAAAACAACATTATCCTTTCTTACAACTTTATCCAATGCTTCTCTTAATTGGTTTTATCAACAAATATGGCTACCACATAAAACTCTTCAACAACAATAGGAAAAAGCTCACAATATAACTAACAAATCCAAATGTTCAAAAATCTATTCTCTAATTCCTATCTCTCACTCAACATCAAATATCTCAAATACATCTATTATTGAACCTACTATATCTATTAAATACTGGTTATTCTTAGACCATTCACTTACTAACTGTATTTACTAAATGTCAAGACTATCACTTTAGATTTTCTTCAACCTTTCTATACTTAAAATTAATTTGAAATAATTAATAATAGTGTTATATAGAAATAAAGGTGTAATGTCATATTGGGTGTCTTAAAACAAGTAGCACAAATGTAGTTTGGAAATCTTTAATATAATTCTTCCATTACTTAATAAAATTTCTATTTTGGCATTTCAAAAAAAAAATAAAATAAAATAAAATAAAATAATTACTATAAAGTATAATCTTTAATAATAATAATAATAATAAAAACTTATAAAATAACAAGTTTATTTGTAATATATATAATTTTAATTTTTTTTAGTTTTAAAAAATAATGTTTAAAGTTTGTAATCTTTATTAAGATTTATAATTTATAAATATATAAAAGGATATTACATTTTACATATAATAAAGCTACAATTAGTTACTTGTATAACTTTAGTTATTATTTATTTAAAAGTTCTAATTACAGATTTTTTACTAATTGTCATATCTGAAATTTGTCTATAGGTTTCTTATTTAAAATTTCTGATTTTTAATATTTTTTTGTAATATTAACTTATTTTTAATAATAGGTCTTAAGACTAGTAATCTAACTTTTTTTATTTTTATTTTTTAATTTTAGCAGTTATGCTAGTACTTTATTAGGATTCTTGAAACTATACAGATTACATAGAATTTTCCTGATATATAAGTTTAGCATTACTCAACCACCCAAATGGTACCTAAGTATGACCTGCTACACTATTCCAGTTAGAGATAGACTGCTTGTCTAACTGCTGCCCTACAATAAGATATTACCAATCTAATAACATCTTTTTATAGAGAAGCAAATAACAAAAAAAAATTTTTTATGTAAAAAAAAACAAAACAGATGTAAAGAGATAAATAATAAAAGATACAAATCAAGAAATAAAAGAAGAAAGAGAATAAATAAAAAAAAAGAAAATATGTAAAATTTGCAATTTACAAATATCAAATGTTCACTATTGTATACCTGTATCAAGTCTTTAAAAATATAAATTATACTAAATAGAAATAACTCTATTATTTTTTTATTTATTTAAATTATTTAACAAAAAACTATATAGAAAAGAAAAAAATCTTCAACTTGATCATAAAGGATCAGTATAGAGCACTAGTTAGTCCAAAAGCAGTATTTTTAGGTTTTTAGTATTTCAAGGTATGTGTATAGTCATGTTTGTATTATTGTATTGTTTCTAATCTATATTATCAACAAACCTGTTTAAGAAGTAAATACTGCTAACTGTTTTGGTAGTTTTATGTGTCAATTTTTAGGAGAGGGTAAGCTAAATCACCCATTTTTACAAAATTTCTTTAAAGCAAAGTAAAGATGAAAGATAAATCAACTTCATAAATTTTGTAAGTTCTTGACCTTTATAGATGTTCATTGTAGGTTTTATAGTTGTATAGAACTAATATATCCAACTTTGTTATTTATTTAATAAAAAACTTTGGCTTTTATTAACTACTTTTCCTATAGTTCCAAAGTGTGTTTAAACTATTAACACAAAGCTGCAACTTCTTTTTTAACTTTATTTTAATATTTAACTATGTATGTACAGTACTTTGAAAAAGTTTTTATAAAGTTTAATATATTAACTATATCATTTTTCTGTAGTTCAGCTTTTTAAAAAGTTTGGTTCAAATGATCATCAGAAAGAGTTGTGATGGCTAGTAATCTAAATTATTAATTAAAATATTAATTAGTTAACAACTTTTCAACTAGTTAATTTAAAAATTTTAAAAACAACTAAATAACTAAATTATTAAATAGTTCAATTATGAGATATTCTGTTTATTTAAACTAATTTATACTAATTTTTTTAATTTGATAAGCTAATTAACAAATTTAATTATATAATATAAAAATTAATTAATTGCAACTATAGTTAGCAACTAATTGATTGACAAAAATTTTTACCAACTTAAAACATTACTTAAAACTACTTTACTTTTAATACAAACTCTGCCAAATAGAAGTTAATTATATAATTATATCTATTTAAATTTATAATATCAAAAGTAATTACATATTAGGTAAAGCCAATATTTTTCATAAACATAAATAATATTTTTATTTTTTTATTATAATAATACAGTGTTCTGTCATACTAATTTCTTTTTAAAAATTTCTTAAATTAAATATGTATCTTTATTTGAACTTCTATAAAGTTTTGTATATAATTATAAATTTTATTTTTAATTATAAAATATTTTACTTTCAACCAAACTCAAACTATTGATCTTGTTTATAAGAAGATAAGAGCTTAACAACTAAGCTATAGAACTCAATCTGTAATTTTAAATTTAAACTATATAACAATAAGTTATCTTTCTTTTTTTACTTTACTTTTTATATAAATATTAATTAAATTTAAGTTGACTTTTTTTAAAAAATATTAGATTCTAATTTTGCATTGTTTGTTTTTGGTTTTAACATTAAAATACCTTTGTAAATTTGAATTATAAGTTTAATTACCTTAGATTTTTTATAAACTTCATTTTAAATAAAACTTTTTAAATATTAAAATTATTTTTAATTAATTTTGAAGTAAACTTAATTGATAAGTTCAAAACATTACGAGAATACAAAGTACTTTAAACTGTATAAATTTGGGTTTGTCCATCATGCTAATATAATTATCCAAAGAATAGTCTGATCACGTGATAATACACAGTAAAAACTACCCCAGTATCGCCCGGAAAGTCTACGGACACGTACCAGTCACATGACCCTAACCTAACTAAATGTTATGGACACGTACCAATCACCAATCTAAGTTTAGGGTACGTGCGATTTCACGTGTCTCGTACGTGTCCGTAGACTTTCCCGTATCGCCACCAAAATGTTTCAGTCACGTGAGTTTCGTGGGGCAAACAAATCAGATTTCAAGATCAGGTGAACGTTACACAATCGTGAAAATTTAGAACAAACGTTCGCTTTGTCAAAAATCGCCCATAACTCGAAAACTTACATAGGAAACCCTTTAGTGCACTAGCAAAAAAATTCCTTGAGCGATTTTATTCTTAAACCTCCTCTAACCTTAACAATAGCATAGACCCTAACCCTAACCTAAACGAACTTTAAAGAATTTTCGGTCCACACGTGACTGCAACATTTTGGTGGCGATACTGGGGAAGATCAGTAAAAATAATAGGACTGGGCAAATCCGCTACGTAGATCAGGTTAGGTTGTTGTTAATTATGTAAAAAAGCGAATTTCACCCTCGTGTGATCTACGTAGCGGATTTTAATTTCTAGAACCTTACCTATAATCATTAATCAACGAAACGGTAACATCTTAAATCGCAATGCGCTTTGAGTCTTGCATCTGTGATATTGATATTTGTGATGCAAAGATGCGATGATGCATCGATCACTTTTAGAATCAATCTACTTAAATCTGTTAAACTTGATTGTTATATATACGTGATGGTATAAACTTTCTCATGTTTTGTTGTACCTTGTTAAGCCTAACACATATTTAAAAGATTTTTCATAAAATCAAAATATTTGCTTATTATTTTCTTTAATAAGTCATCATGTTAAAATACATCATACGGATCATATTCTTAACAATTTTTCTCATCGTGATAGTGCGAACAGTAGTGTCTCTTCCTCTAAAATTACGTTCTCAAACTTTACCGCCTTCTACGGTGCCATCTCCTCCTATGACGTCCGTGCCGAGCGCAGATGCTCCTCTTTCAACAACTGGTGTGAATTCACACCCAATAAATAGTGCACCAAACTTTAATGCTTCGCCGAAGAACCCCACACATCAATTACCACCAGAAAATATTCATCCTACCAGTACGAATGCAGACATTCCCGTTACACATGTACCGTTATCGACCACACCAGTTAATCCGAATAATCCCGTAGCATTGCCCAGAAATATCGCACCACTAAGTGGAATGCCTAATCCTTTTGGTAATAATCTACTTGGTCAAAACATTGTACCGTTTATGTATAAACGCTCTAATATCGCGTATAGAGCTCCATATAACGCGTATAACATTCCATATAACATTCATAAAAGGGGAATTGTTCCGAATCTTGGAATGGTGTTTCATAATCCTCCTCTTTATAGACGTAATAATCCTTTCATTCCTATTCCTATCATCGGTAATGAACGCCGTGGTGCTTGGTTTTAAATTTTGAATAATTTGAATGAAAAAAAATTATATTACGTGTTTTGAGTTAATTCTGTCACGCTAAATGACAATAAGAAAATGTCTATCAATTTGTCTTATAAAATAATAAAATTTATGAAATCTTAAACTTTTTAACTTTTGGTAACCTGGCATGATAGTCACCATGGTATGCCATTGCTGTCATGCCAAAGTATTTGAAATGCTTTATTAGTTAAAATGATTAATAATAAAATTTGGGGCTATCTTGAAAGTTCAGTTGTACAACTATATAACGATAATTGAATAAACTTGACAAATATTAAATTCCGTTCTAGACTTATTTCAAACCGGATTTTTTAATAGCCATTAGTAAAACCGCACAGATAGCAATCTGGTCCGATCCTAAGATTTTAAAGGACGGTCTTAGGCTCGGTTCTTAATCACATGAAAATACAATACATTTTGTAGGACTTGGATCCTGTATCAGAAACTATCGAATAAGTCCATCCAATCAAAGGATCGGTTAGGACTCGATCCCAAAGAGCTAACCCCTAACCGCAGCCATCTCATCAGCAAATGCAAATGAAATTAGTAATTGGAAAAAAATGCCGTTATAGATAATATGCGTGGCCTTTTTAAAATCTAGAGTTCAAAACCGGATGAAAAATTGTTACCTAGGCCTCTCATATATACTTTTTTTTTTATTATTGGATGCTTACAAGACTTATTATTAAACTCACAAAATTGCGGGCAAAATGCAGGCCGACAAAAATATAAATTTTTTTAGACCCGTGCAAATCCTTTTACGAAAAGAGTTGACTACATGTAATTTGATCGGTTAATTATCACGCATGGATTTCTAGCCGTAATATAATTTATATGTCGAAAGCGTTTGACATTACAACAAATTATAAAAATTTTGTACAAGCCTAGTAAATACTATTTGAAATTCTACTAAATCTTGAAGTAGTAAGTTTAGTTCGCAACCCTACTTAGACTCCTGGAGGAGTTCTGTTAAAGCGCAACCACCAATCGAGCACGAGTCACGCGATATACCGACCTCCCGATCTCATTTATCTAACAATCGATGCTCTTATTATACATAGCAACCGCATAAAATGTCCGCAGACACGTGATTTTAAACCAATCACGACACATGATCAGGTGTAACGTGAAAGGAAAACAAACTGCCGGCTGTTTTTAAAAACTTGTCTATAATTAGTATTAGGGGTCGTTTAAAGCCTTGCACCTTACGAAATTTCCCTATATATGTCCCGTATTATTCCGAACAACCCGACAAAATG